GTGTGGTTCCTGCAGCGGCGCTTCCACAAGGATATCCTGCTCAATCCTGTGCTGGTGCTGAGCTTCTGCCCCGACCTGAGCTCCACGCCTGGACACCTGGGCACAGCTACTCGGGAGCTCCTCTTCCTGCTGGATGCCAGCAGCACAGCACACAAGGCCCGTGGGGCATGGGGTGGGCAGCCCTGGGGGTTGAGGGGGGCAGTGGGTCTGAGGTGGGCTGGGGGCAGCCTCTTGAAGCCGGGAGTTACCTTGTTGCTTCAAATGCCATCTTCCAAAGGGGAAGCACATGGCAACTCCTCAGGGGGATTCCCTTACAGAGCAGCCCTGCTCCAGTCTCCAGACAGACACTGTCATGCTGTCCTGCTCACATTCACACACGTGTTTCTCCAGGATTCCAAGAGCCTCTCATGCGTAGACTGGCACCCAGTCCACCCAGCCACAGGGAGACTCAGGTTTCATGTATACCTCCAGAGCCCCAAACACAGTTTCTCACACTCGGGGCTCATCTGCAGTCTTTCTCTCACATCCAGGGCCTCTCACTTGAATCACGGCCTGGATAAGCCAAGCGACCTGGCATCCCTTGCTCTGTACCAGGGCCCCTGGGGCCAGCCTCACACTGCCCTCCCTGGCTCTCCACAGGATGCCATTGTTTTGGCTGTGAAGTCTCTCCCGCCCCAGACACTCATCAACCTGGCTGTGTTTGGGACTTCGGTGGAGCCACTCTTCCCAGAGAGTCGGCCTTGCAGTGACGTGAGTGTGGTCCGGGATCTGGGGGCCTTCCAGAGAGGTTTCAGCCCAGTGCATCCCAGCCTGTGCCTTCTCTCTCCAGGATGCTGTGCAGCTGATCTGCGAGAGCATTGAGACCCTGCAGGTTCCCAGTGGGCCCCCAGACGTGCTGGCTGTGCTGGACTGGGCCATGGGGCAGCCGCAGCACAGGGCCTACCCTCGGCAGCTGTTCCTGCTCACTGCGGCCTCACCCATGGCCGCCACTACCCACCGAACCCTAGAGCTCATGAGGTGGCACAGGGGGACAGCCAGGTATGGGATGGGCAGAGCCAGATGCCTACGATTGAGCCCCCATAAGGCTCCTGAAGGTCATAGCTTCTTCCTTTCCTTCATCAGATGCTTCTCATTTGGGCTGGGGCCCACCTGCCACCAGCTGCTCCGGGGTTTATCTGCCCTCAGCAGGGGCCAGGCCTATTTCCTGAGGCCGGGGGAGAGGCTGCAGCCCCTGGTGAGTTTGAGCCTGGGCCCTATTCCCTACACCTGAAAGTCTTTCTCCCAAGTTACACATCAAGTCTGAAACAGAACCCAGGCAGGCCAAGGGGGCTTCTGGCACCCTCACCAGCCGTCTCCCCACTTCCCCACTCCAATCAGGGGAAGAGCTGTTGGTGCTGCAAAGGCCAAGGGTGAGGGAGCACTGCCTCTGAGCACCCTCTGAGTCTCATTTGGTCCTGGGACTGAGCCTTATCCTCTCTTGCCCCATCCATGTGGCAAAGCTCAGGCCAGGAGACAGACCAAGCCGTGAGGACCGAGCACTCAGTTCCCTGCTTGTTCCTACCCTCATTCCTTCTCCTGACCCCAGTGTGGCCCTGTGCCCCATCAGCTCAGGGGCTGGGCAGATGGCATCAGGGGAAGGGCAGCCTCCCTGCTCTGTCTGGCCACATGACACCTCTTTCCCCCCCTCTGGCCACTCCCTACAGCTGGTGCAAGCTCTGCGGAAGGCACTGGAGCCTGCTTTGAGTGACATCTCTGTGGACTGGTTTGTGCCCGACACTGTGGAGGCACTGCTGACGCCCCGGGAGATCCCAGCACTCTACCCTGGGGACCAGCTGCTCGGTTACTGCTCACTCTTCAGGGTGGATGGCTTCCGGTCCCACCCACCAGGGGTAGGCCTGGGCTGGGGTGTGGTGGGGGGCCCGGGATGGCTGAAGTCCTCAAACATCTTCCAAACCCTTCTTCCATTCTGTGTCTCTCTTTACCAAGCTCCTCTACTATCCCCTAGGCCTCCACAGAGGTCACTGGGCCCCCCACGATGGCCACACCCTGACCCCCTCATGGGGTCTTCCACTGAGTTGTCCTGCAAAGTGTTGTCCTTGATTTTTTACCCAAGGTCACTAAAGCACACAGCCACAGAAAACAGCACCCGCATTTGCTATGAGGTTTCCGCCAAGACTGTTGCTCATGACTTCACATAGTACCCTATAGAGAGCACCAGCAAACGTATTTCCTATAACACTCAGTGATGGATGGGCATAATCTAGGTGCAATCTCTAATCCCAGCTGTCACTAGCCATTTGATTTGAGCAAGTCACTTTACCTTGCTGACCCATTTCCTCATATGTAAATGATGTTTTCCACAGGTGGCTGTCATCAGGGGTTGACAGGGTAGGAGCTGGAGACATGGTAGTTATTTTGTAATGAAAAGCCTTATCTCTTTAAAAGAACTCAGCATGCTTCCCCCTTTTTTGGTCATGAGAGCTGTATAGCAGACTTTTTTTTGCCTGGCTGCCAGGAAGCTCAGCTTCCCAGCAGCTCTGTTAACCCTTACAGTGAACACGTTTGCTTCCTCCTTCTTTAGAACTGGTCTTTAGTTTCTAATTTATTAGCTTTATTGCCTCTTGCTGTGAACCATCTAAAACTCCCATTTGGAAAGAGGTAGTATGTACCTGTAGTTAATTTTTTCCCAATGATATTCTCTCTAGGGCCAAGAGCCTGGCTGGCAGAGCTTGGGCGGGTCTGTGTTTCCATCCCCAGAAGATGCCCCATCTGCTGCCAGCCCCGGCACTGAGCCCACTGGCACCTCGGAGCCACTGGGAACAGGCACTGTGTCAGCAGAACTGTCCAGCACATGGGCTGCCGGGGACTCAGAGCGGAGTGAGTGCCCAGGTGTATGTGTGTGGCTGTGTTGGAGCAGGCACTGGGTGGGGTCAGGGCTGGGGACCATTCTACTGCCTCCCAGCAGGTACTGACGCTCTGACAGACCCAGTCACGGATCCTGGACCCAACCCCGCCTCTGAGACAGCCATATGGCGCCGCATCTTCCAGTCCTCGTACATTCGGGAGCAGTATGTGCTCACCCACTGCTCTGCCAGCCCTGAGCCAGGCCCAGGCTCCACAGGCAGCAGTGAGTCCCCCGGCTCCCAGGGCCCTGGCTCCCCAGAGGGCAGTGCTCCCCTGGACCCCCCTTCTCAGCAGGGCTGCCGCAGTCTGGCCTCAGGAGAACCTGCAGGCTCCCGTTCCTGTCCCCTGCCTGCACCCACACCAGCTCCATTCAAGGTGAGATCCAGCCCTCATTCGTTCGCCTTGTATTCAGAAAATACTGATTTACCACCTGCTGTGTGCCAGACATTATGCAGAGTTTACTATTAAGTCTAGCTAGAGAGAGAGGTGGATAAATCTCCAACCATAATACTATGTAACAACCAGCGATGAGCACAAAGACTTGTATTATGGGGACTTAGAGAGTGTGACTAACTCTGCCTGAGAGAGTCAGGAAAGTCAGAGCCACATCTGGAAGACTATGCACAGGTCAGCCATGCAGACAGGGGGAGACAGGCGACAATCAGAGTGGGAAACAGGGAGGAGTGGAATGACACTGGGAGGGGCCGGGACAGAGGTCACTGGAGGCCATAGGACTGGGCCCTCCCCTCATGGTGGTGAGCGGCCACCTAGGGTTTCAGACAAGGGGCATGGGCCAGCTGTGTACCCATGTATGACGGTCAGGGGTTCTGCATCCCTTGACCAGTGGCCCCCATATCTCACATGCAGGTGGGCGCCTTGAGTGCTGAGATGCTGGGCCGGCAGCACAGGGCGGCTCTGGCTGGCCGAAGCCTCTCCTCCCCTCCAGGCCGGGCAAACCCAGTTCCCGGCCGACCCCGGAAACCCTCTCTGGGTGCAGCCCCAGATGGCCCAAGTTCAGAGTCAGGCCAACAACTGGGACAGGGCCTGGATGACTCTGGTAAGTGCTGGACGGGGAGCCAGGTTTCCCTGATGCCAAGGAGGCCTTGGGGAGGTGAAGCCCAGAGTACCACGCTGCCCATACCCCTGCTATCTTGCTCCCCAGGAAACCTGCTCTCTCCAGCCCCCATGGACTGGGACATGCTGATGGAGCCACCCTTCTTGTTCATGGCTGTGCCTCCCAGTGGGGAGTCGGCCCCTCCAGCAGCGCCTCCCCAGGCTCCACGATGCCATGTGGTGATCCGGGGCCTGTGTGGGGAGCAGCCTATGTGCTGGGAGGTGGGTGTTGGGCTGGAGACACTGTGGGGGCCTGGAGATGGCTCACAGCCTGCCTCACCTCCTGTAAGAGAAGCTGCTTGGGACCAAGCACTCCATCGGCTGACAGCAGCCTCTGTGGTCCGGGACAATGAGCAGCTGGCTCTCCGAGGAGGGGCAGAGACCACAGCTGACCGGGGTGAGTTGCTGGTGGGTCCAGTCAGGGCCCAAAGGCATGGGCAAAAAGCAGCAAAGGTAGAGCTCTGCGTGTTTGATAATTATACCTCACTTTGATCACAAAGGATTTGAGGCTCATCGCACTAACAAGATAAAAAATTAAGCAGGACAATGGGAAAAAGTAAAAATAAAAGGAAACTGAGAATGGGGATATACACACGCACATATACACATATATATGTATTTTACATATATACACATACATATGTATATACATATATATAAAATACATTGTGTGTGTGTGTGTATACACTTTTTTTGTTGTTTTTTTGAGACAAGGTCTCACTCTGTCACCCAGGCTGGAGTGCAGTGCCTCACGATCTTGGCTCATTGCAACCCCCAACTCCTGGGTTCAAGCAATTCTCCTGCCTCAGCCTCCTGAGTAGCTAGGATTACAGGCACATGCCACCACGCCCAGCTAATTTTTGTATTTTTAGTAGAGACGGGGTTTCACTATGTAGGCCAAACTCCTAACCTCGTGATCCTGCCTCAGCATCCCAAAGTGCTGGGATTATAGGCGTGAGCCACCACGCCTGGCCGAGATGAAGTTATATTAAAGGTGCATGCTGTCAGGTTCTATAATCTTACAAGGCTGGGACCCAGAACTGACAAGCTTTCTAGCGGGCAGCACAGAGGGAAATGTGATCTCGTAATGATGCACAGTGCCCACAACCTAAGAACAAATCTTTTGTCATTCAGGAAAAGACTTAAAGTTGAAAGTTCATTTCCTTAGTTGCCCTAGCCACAACTGAAGTACTCAACAGTCGCATGTGACTAATGGCTACCACAATGGATCATGAAGAGAGAACATTTCCAAGTTCCATTAGTGCAGAAACAGGTGGAGGAAAAGGTGTTGGTCAATGCTTCCTCTGGGAGGTGTCCAGAGTGCTGAACTGCTCGGCAGCCAGGGGTCCTTTGCTCTGTTGTGGACTGAAGGTTCAGCCTGGCCACTCTTGCCAAAGTTAGGGAATCTGAGCTGGTTCTGGGCCTAGCAAGGCAATCTACTGTTTAAGTTGATAGAGGGAGAAGCTGGGGAGAACACAACTTTTCCTATGAGCGCTCTGTAAAGGGCGGGTGTGGGGGTTCCACAGACCGTGCCTTGGTTCCACAGGCCACGCCCGGAAGTGCTGGCTTCGGGCCCTTCAGACAAGCAAGGTCAGCTCTGCCCCCTCCTGCTTCACTTGCCCTGTGGCCGTGGATGCTGCCACTAGGGAGGTCCTGCCTGGGGCCCTGCAGGTGTGCAGCTCAGGTAGGGGCCTATTCTGGTGACCTCTCAGGTGCAGCTCTCACCTCACTGGCCACACTCCTGGACAAACCTGACTCCTGTCCCCTGTGCCCCTGCAGAGCCAGCCGAGCCCCCCAGAACCCCTCCCGCCTCTCACAGCCGTCTAGATGCAGCTCCTCTGCCTGCTGCTGTCTGCTCTAAAGGTAACACCCAGAGGCAGGGTAAGGGCAGGGGCACCTGGCTGACTACCCGCTGGCACTGACAGTCCCCACCGCAGGACTTCAGGGAGGCTCTCCAGCCGGCGCCCGGGACTCCGACCAACATGGCAACTCCAAGTGTGCTTTGGGGGACTCTGCCGCTCCCACGGAAGGGCCTCGCCGCCCACCTCCCCATCCGCCCTCTCGGCTCAGCCTGGGCCGCGGGCGCAAACTCCGCAGCCCTGACCCAGGCCAGGCCAACAGCAGTGAAGGCAGCGACCACGACTACCTGCCCTTGGTGAGGACTCGGGAGGTGGAGGGTGGCGCCGCCCGGCCGGGCGCGGTCTCAGCACGCTTCTCCCCCCACCTCCTCTCTCCTCAGGTGCGGCTGCAGGAGGCGCCGGGCTCCTTCCGCCTGGACGCGCCCTTCTGCGCCGCGGTGAGCATCTCGCAGGAACGCCTCTGCCGCGCCTCGCCCTTCGCCGTGCACCGCGCCAGCCTCAGCCCCACTTCGGCCTCGCTGCCCTGGGCACTTCTAGGCCCTGGTGTTGGCCAGGGTGACAGTGCCACGGCCTCCTGCAGCCCGTCCCCCAGCTCGGGCTCCGAAGGTCCAGGCCAGGTGGACAGTGGGCGGGGCTCAGACACAGAGGCCTCGGAGGGGGCGGAAGGACGGGGCGCCGACCTGCGGGGCCGGACCTGGGCCACTGCCGTGGCGCTGGCCTGGCTGGAGCACCGATGCGCCGCTGCCTTCGGCGAGTGGGAACTGACCGCGGCCAAGGCTGATGGCTGGCTGCGGGCCCAGCACTTGCCTGACGGCCTCGACCTGGCTGCCCTCAAGGCCGCAGCCCGGGGGCTCTTCCTGCTGCTGCGCCACTGGGACCAGAACCTGCAGCTACACCTCCTGTGCTACAGCCCGGCGAACATGTGAGGGCTGCCCGCTGTTGCTTGGGCCGAGGCCCTGCCCCACACACTCAACTCACTGCCGCCCAGGGCTGGCCTCTCGGTGCTGGGAAGGGGTCGGCTGGTGCCAGCCTGTCCCCCACTGCTTCTTCCCCCCTCCCTAGAACCCTCTTACCCCCACAAAAAGTGCCTGCCTGTGCTCTCTCCTGCTCCTCCCACCCCACTACCCCTCCCCTCCATCCTCTGAGCTCCCTGCAGCACAGTGGAAGGGGAGAGAGCCACAGTCCCCAAATCCTATGCAATAAAGTGCCTCTTAGGACTGCTCGAGAGAATTCTTTATCTGCCCCATACATGCCCCTCACAGCCGGGTCCAGGCAGCAACTGCCCCTACCTCCGTGTAGGCTGCACAGAGGTTTATGTGGATGGGCACAGAGTCCATCCCCGGTCAGGTCCTGAGAGTGGCTGAGGGAAAGGGGTGGATTTCAGTGGGCTTTCTTGCTGTGTTGGGTGCTCTTGGGGAAAGGCTGCGGGCCCAGCCAGAGCTGCAGCAGGATGACGGCATGGCACACGTGCAGGGCCGCAGAGCTGCAGGACGTGGAGGGGTATGTGTTCCAGGAGAGCTCGATGAGCCCCAGCACCAACAACCTGGAGACGAGAAATGGGCTCCAGGTTCTGTCTGGCTTCAAGACCTGCAGACCTTCAGCTCCGCATGCCCCAAACACAACCGCTCAACAAGAACTCCCTGTCCCCTCCCACTCCCCCAGGTTGTCCCAGCTGGTACCTGAGCAGGTGTGTGAGCCAGCGTGCAGGCGTGGCCCACAGGAGGTAGGGCAGTGTGTGGAAATACCAGACGTAGAACTGGTAGTGGAGGGAGCGGCTGAAGCAGATGCCAATGAAGTTGGAGGTGAAGAGGGTAGAGACGATCTGTATGCCACGGTCAAGGCCAAGGGCAGGAGTGTGTGTGTGTGTGGGGGGGGGTGTCCCAAAACAGAGGGGCAATTGTTTTTAAGTCAGCTCCCTGGCCCTGCCATTCCTAGAGGCATGCCTTTGCGCAAGATTTATTAACCTCTCCAGACCTGCTCTCAGCTGAATATGGAAAGTGGAGAGAGTAATACGTAGGGCCATGAGGCCTTGTGGGTTTGAACCCCTAACTTACTGGCTGTGTGACCTTGGTAAGTTACTTAACCTCATGAAGTCTTCATTTTTCCATCTGTGCAATGAGGATAGTAAGCGTAAGTGTACCTCCCTATCCCAGGGTCTCTGTGAGCTTTAAATGTTAGAACATACGTAAATTTCTTACAATAGTATCAGGGAGAGATACTCATAAGAGTAGCTCATATTTAGAATTAAGAATCAAAAATATAAAATGAAATAAAAAGAAAGAAAAAAAAGCAAAAAAAAATGAATCAAATATATTTCAATAGGTAAAATGCTCAGCACAGTGGTGCACAATAGGAGTTCTATGACTGGGCTCCCCTTCCCTCGCCCAGGTCACCAGCCATCAAGGGATGCCTGACTAGGACCCTGTCAGCACCTAGAGAGGGCAAGATTTACCTTCCCACGATTTAAAGGATATGGTTGGGTGTAAGGGGCTGGGGTGGAACCTTCCTTTTGGAGGGATCCCTCAGCAGCGACAAGATACTTTCCCCTGTGCTGGGGAAAAGTCATTCAGACAGGTGTCAAGCCCCTGTTGTAAGTCAAACTCTAGACTCACCCCATGAGCTCATTAACACTTCCTCCAAGCGGCCCCTAAGGCTTAGGCCCTTCGCTCCTTCCCCCAACTCTGCCCACGGCACTGCCATCTTCTCTCACCTGTGCCACCTACAGAGAGCAAACAGCAGGAGCAGGGTGAGGTGGGCAGCCAACAGGGCCAGGTGGAAGGCTCGATGCAGGAAGAGAGCCTCTGGGAGGAAGCGCCAGTTCACTGTCCAGCGGAACAGAAACTGGCGGCCAAGGTCAAAGGATCGGGACAGGTAGCCGATGGGGTTCTCCAGCAGGAAGGGCAGCCCCAGCGCCACCTGAGGACCGGCATGATGTGAGCACAGCTGCCAAGGTTCATTCCCAAGGACCGGCTTTCATGCTCCTCATTGAGGGGAGCGAGCTGGGATGTAGGCTTTGGAGCTTCCCCAATTCCCACCAGAAACAGCAGAAAAAACACGCCCCCTGCCCCCACCCCAGGCCAGAGCTTGGGGCCAAAGAAGCTCAGAGGCAGGGGCTCAGAGGCAGGCCATAATAGTGCTTTAAGGTAGGGATTCACCAAGTGACAAATGGGCAGAGCCAGGAAGGCTCTCAGAGGCCAGGCACAGTGGCTCATGTCTGTAATCCCAGCACTTTGGGAGGCCAAAGCGGGAGAACTGCTTGAGCCCAGGAGTTTGAGAGCAGCCTGGGCAACACAGCGAGAGCCCATCTCAAAACTTCAAATTAAAAAAAATAAAAAGGCTCTCAGACACCATCAAATGTAACACCCTATTTTACAGCTACGGAAACTATAGCCTAGAGATAGTGGCTTCCTAGCTCAGAATCAACTCCAAAACCTTGTCTCTTGGCTTTGAGGGAGTCTCAGGGATAGATCCCCTCAATCAAGACAAGTGGCCTCTCCTTGATCAGAAAGAGGAAGGGTGAGGTGGGGGTACCTGAAGGCCAGCACAGATGCCCAGCTTGGGGAGGGCCCCACGGAAGCCAAACTGTGTGAGGAGAAGAAACAGTAATCCAGGGGCGAAGAGCAGCACATTCATCTTCACAGAGATTGCCAGGCTGGAGTGAGCAGGGGAGAGGAAGGGTGGAGATCAGCTCCAGGGCCGGGCACATCAGAGCCAAAGACATACATCCCACCGAAGGCACAGCAGCCTCCCCCCGCCACCACACCGGCTAACTCTGGGATGGGGCCTACGCTCACAACTGCTAGAGGGAAGAGCCTAGAGTGGGCAGGGGGCAGATACGTAGTCTCTATGCCTGGGCCGAGTGAGCATACACTGAGCATTCAGAACGTGAAGGACTAATTCCAACAATGAGTGCTGTCTGGAAGAAAGGATGGAAAGAGGCATGTGTGTGCAGGGGGAATGGCAGGGCAGAAGCTTTCTATAGATCCTAGACTTGGTTTACGGAGCCCTGAGGGACCCATGCTGTCTGGCTGCTCCTTTACTCCCTCTGCTGCAGAAAATTGGGAAGGGATGGCAATGCAGACGTGAAGGAGGGGGCCAGAAGGAAGGGGTGTTGACCTGAAACAGCAGCAGCCCCAGCCCCAGCGCTGGGCCAGCAGGAGGTTGATACTGAGGAAGAGCAGCACCATGGCCACTGGGTCATTGAAGAGCCGCAGCACAAAGATGGAGTGGACACGGTAAGAGGCGCAGCACATGAAGAAGAAGACGAAGGGAGGAACCTGAAGGGTAAACACAGTGAGGAGCAAGGGCAGCTCGGCAAGCCTGAGCCATCCCCACCACCCAGCCCTCCCAGGCTGGGGCCCTCCGGTAGCATGACTCACCTTGCAGGTCTGGTGATAGATCAAGAAGACAAGCAGCAAGGTGGCCAGGTAGAGCACAGCAAAGATGTGCTGGGCCATGCGGATGTCAGTGCCTCGGCCAGTGGCGTAGTATAGCCCCATAAAGATGTACACGAAACCAGCTGGGTACCTGGAAGATGAGAGGACATGTGAACCTGGGTCACACCACCCAGGCTAGTGCCTTGCCAGCCCCTCACATCCTCCCTGAACTTCCTATCCCCACTCACACAAGTGGTCCAGTGTCACCCTGCAGTTGGGTATAGTCATAGGTTCCATTGATGACGCCTTCTACCTGCGCCATGTAGGCCTTCCAGTCAATCTCTGTGTCTGGAAGAAGACAAGATGATCTGGTTACTTCTGAGTCTAGAACTCTCTGCCACCCTCCCCATGCCTCCAGACCATCAAAATACAGACTTTCGGCCAATTCTCAGAGCTTCACTACCTCTGAATCTCTTTCTTTGACACTATCTGGGTGGGCCCAGGCATCTCAAACTCATTTCTGTAAGGGAACTTGCGATCTTTCCTCACTCCAATCTACTCCTTCCTGGGTTCCACAAATGGCACCACGCTCTTAGCTACCAGGTCACGAACCTGAGTAACATCTTTGATACCCCCTCCTCTCTCATTTCCAACCATTAGTCAACACGTTCGACCTGTTCTTCACTCTAAATATCTCTATCTCATTCTCTGCTGCTACTACATACTCAAACTTGAGCATAAAGTAA